ATACCCTCTGTTATACACTAAAAATAAAAAATTAGGCAAAAATTATAATGGAGTGACCTTAAGAAAGTCTCGTTCTTGAGATTGCGAAAACGAAAACCAACAAAACTTTCACGACTTCAAAACAACTTCAAGACACAGTTTGGTATTATTTGAAGCAATGTCATCAGAGAAGTGTTCAACTGTCAGTGCATTTACTATTATGATGCAAAAAGTATAATTTGAAATGGTTTTGCGATTTACTCCAGATCAAACATACAGAATTTTTTATTCTTGTATATTCTGCTTGTCATACACTATAGTTTAAGGCACTGGTATTAGCTTTTTCATATCACATCTGGTTCGTGCAAAATTCATGTTTTACCGATTTTCACTTTTTTTGTTTATCGTTTCCATTCATTTGGTTTTAAAGTAAGACTAGGACTTTGCAATGACTGTCTCTTAACTATTTTTTTTACATGACGCATTTTGCCCCCTCCCCACCCCCCTCCCCCCGCTCCACTTGCCCTGATGCGTAAGGCAGCAGAGGAAGAGTGTAAAATAGGTTTGCTTGGTTGTCAGCTGCTCAGCGATGCCATCGCATTAGTAGGTGTGAACAATCTCCTGATTTGCCGCAAATGACATCATTAGCTGAACTCCTTGCACAGAGTATCCAAAAACATTCCAGAATTAGGCTAACGAAGGGAATCCACTAACGAAGTAATGAACTCTAAAAGTTTACAGGACATCAAAATCTGCGTCGGTTAGTCTTTCAAGAGAAGATAGTGGTGTCGAGGCAATTGTTATTGCATTAATTTCGAAATCTGAGCTCTTTGGTGGAATCTGGACTTTCGTGTGGTTTCTTTCCGTACAGTGTGAAATGGTGGCTTCATCCACAACCTTCACGGTGAGAGACAAAATTAGAAAATCTGTGTTTTATAAGACATTTGTTTAAGTTCTAGTAATTTTTATGTCGTGACTTAGGTCGAAATAGCCAATGAGATGGTCAAAAACCATTTAGAGTAGGCCTGCACGTTACAAAGTCGCCTGGCATCGGATAACACGGTGAGTAAAACTGTTTGAATCATGCATTTTCAGTTGTAAGTTGAAGGTAACATATCAAGTACTAATGCTACTCCTTAAAATTTCAGGTTGATACGACGGAGAGATGGTGAGTATGAGTTGGCTTACGGCTAGAATAAAGACAGCAATTTTTGTCATTTAAATTATGCGGAAACACGTCCGATCTGAGTCATCTCGTAGCGACCATAGCTCAACTAAAAGTCAGGGCACGACAAAAAGGCTGTCCCATGGCCTGTGAGTAGTGAAACGATCGGTC